GAAGAGCTGCCAAGGGAAATGCTTCCAAAAGACAAAAGTGTGACTTCTGTTCACATTAGGTAAATGTACAGGAGTCCAAGAACATCTACATCACAGACAGAGTAGGGAATCTAATAAGCAAGGAGGTTGAAGAAGCCAGACCAGGGACTGTTGTATCAAGGTCAGATCTTCATTTTAAGGACCTATGGCCTATACTCTAAGGAAAATGATGGGATTCTGTAGTGTTTTGAGTTGATGAATGCCATAATTTGTGTAATGACTAATAGAAATCACTGTAACAAATCTGTTGCAAAAGACAAGGGAGTATGTACTTTGAAGCAAAAACCAGGTAATGAGATTAAAGATGATAGGTACTCTAATCATGAAAAAAGCAGGGGTGGTGTCACAAAACAGCCTTTGGATGATAGATATAACCCTATATATTTATAAATATGATTATATTTATATATACATATTATATATATATATATATATATTAGAATATGAGGTGTGGTTGAAGATAAATAAACAATAATGAGAAGTTTTGAAATCCTTTTCACAAAATGTGAAAAATATTTAGATTATATTTTGACACAGAGGCTTGCAAGTTTTCTTGTAGCAAATATACTACTACTACTTAAAGTGTCAAAAATACTACTTGTCTACTGCAGGGAAAGCAAATATTCTAAATGTACTGATCCTTTAAATTTTAAAAGTGTTACAAATCTGAGGCTTTTCAGGAAACTGAGACAGTGTAGAGATACCCATTTAACCCCAACTTTGGAGACCAAGTGAGAAATATTTCAAATAAGCCACTCAGAGTAATATGCATGGATTTATTAGAAGGGATATGAAAGTAGGAAACAATCTCAAGGGAAATAGTGGATCCTTTCAGAAAGGAGAGAGATAGTGCATCACTCCTGCTCTTAAGTTTTATAGGAATCCCAGGGATGTTTCCAGAGAGGTCCATACAAGTCCACTTGTTGGCTTCTGACTAACAGCAAGACGATATCAGAATTTTGAGTCCCCAACACCATGACAACTCTAGGTCACTTTTACCCATGCTCACAGGTTCTAATTGGAACATTGTTCTTACAGATGTTATGGTTATGGGGAATTATTCTTATCTCCCTGAGTTCCAGGATCTTGTCACAAGAACCACCACTTCAGGGTACCTTGGATTCTTTTTATTGGCATTTCATTTTGAGCCTGCATTTCTCCTGCAGATAACAGGTAGTTTGCTGAGAAATGTAATGCATTCTGTTCACTTATGCCAGTCAAGACTGCAGGTAAATTGTTTCTCAATAGTGACAGTATGTGGGGGTCAGCACAATGGAACAATTTCCCCAACCTCATGTTCCCACTACTCACATCTGTCCATCTCCTATCAAGAATATAATAGCAGATATCTTGTAAAATTGAATTCATGATTTATTACTTTCAAAAGCTGATGTTGTAAGTAGGAAACTATTTGCTGTATTGACTGAAAATTAGGTTAAGAAAAGATTAACATGAAGGCAATCCTGTGGAAATATTTCTATCACTGTTTCTATCATTGTGATATATTCTGTTTCTGAAAGCCATGTAAATGATCCCTCTGTAAAAAATGTACTATTTTATATTTAAAAACTGATAAGCATGCTTTTTCCTAAGAATTAACATTTTTAAAAATACAATGTCATATTTCTTTTTGTTACTTTGATCTGCTCTCCCCTCTCTGTACTGATAAATTTTTATAACCAAACATTAAAATTACTAAATTTAATGGCAAACTCTTGAAATGCTGACACACAAAATATTTAAAACTTTTATAGATCTTTGATAAGACATTTTTCAATTTCTGAAGTTGTTTTGAAATTTTGATTGATATTTCCCTACTCCAAGTACATATCTTTTAATTTACCTGAAGGCAATTAATCATGGACTGCCTTCTGACATCTCCTGTAAAATACCCTCATAAATTAACCTTAAAAAACAGTCTCCGTTTTCCCATTCATAAAAAAAAATCATACTTTAAGGCTCAAAGCATGTCCTCTGTCCTTGTCCTTCATCCTGCATTATACTTCCTCTGAGTTTTTATAGTAATTGTTCTTTGTATTTTTTTTTTCATGTTATAAGCCACATGGAGTTATTTTAAGTGCCTTTTATCTGTAAACTCTTCAAGCAGAGACTGTGTTTATTTACTTACTTTCCTAGGTTTCCGTTTCTTCATTAGCTAAATAATGGTCTTTAATTTCTAAATCTTAAAGCATTAAAATGCTAACAGTCAAGAAAATAACTGGTTCCCTTAGTTTTTTTTTTTTTTTTTCCCAGGGGGCATGGGCTTCAGAAGTGCTGGGATGGAACCTAGGAACTTGATCCTCTCTGCTCAGCCCTAGTTTTTCTAACAGTAGCAGCAGTAATATAAGTAGTATATCAGTATTGCTTAGAATTCAGCAGGCACATCCTAAGGCTTGATGCACCTGTTGAATATTAACTACTATTTACTAACTCATGTAAAATTCAAAACAACCTTTTGAAGTGGGTATTATTATTTTTCTTTTTTTTTGGTATAAAAAACCAAACCAAAAAAAATTCAGTAACTTCTTAAGATATTGTATTGTAATTTTAAGAGGTGGAGTTATGATAAGCATCAGCTTCTGAACACAAGCTCATAAGCATATGCATACTGCCTTTCACTGATTCACCATTAGGATTATATGCTTCTAGAGAGGAAACTGCATTTATTTGTACCTCCAGGAGTTTCTTTTAATCTCCCAAAAGAGAAAATCTCCAAAGAATGTTTTCTTATACAGGAGGTATAAATTGGAGGGCAATAGATCTGTAACTTTTCGGGAATTAATCATTCTACCTGGAGGGAGGGACCTTCATGCACAGAGAGGTTCTCATAGGTAAGGAGCATAGACTATCAAATTCTAGCAGTCCTGACCATGGGCTAGATGACCACTGACATGACTGAGCTTCAGCTTCCTTACACCATTAAATAAGAATTAACAATCTGTGGATTGTGATATACCCATAGAAAATAACACTATGAAAGGCTTGATGAAAAGAAAAATACCTGTACAGCTGGCAAACTAGAAATTTTCATTAGAAAATTCCTTGATACTTAAAGTAACTTCTAGACCTTTGCTCATTTTATCACTCTGTTCTTACCAGTGAATAACAATAAGCTTTTTATTATTTTTGCTTTGTTTACATTAAGCTATTCAATCCTTAATATTTTGAAGACTTACTGATTATTCCATTTCAAAATACATACAAAATAGGCTTTTATAATTACACCTAGATCAAGTCTAACACGTAAAGAAGATAATATGAAAATTCAAAGGAATTTTATTGCTTTGTCATTAGTGTAGTGATTGATGATAGCTCTTTTGCTATATATGCATTGAAATTATTGATTAGTGCATGAAGAAATTCAAATGAAACATCTGGCATTCATTCAAATACAATTAACAAAATATCAGGCAAACTATTCCTTAAGCAATAAAACATTTAATTATGTTAATTTCATCAAGTCTAGGGATAATTGTCCTAGATTTGTCTCAAGGTTATTATCATGAATTCAGTCTCCTTTTATTTTTCTTCTGCTTTACTTTTCTTTTGGCTTCTCCTCCTTAAACTATTTTTTCAAAACCTCATAATGACAATGGAACTTAAGACCTAATAGGCTTTGATGGTAACATTCAAAGCAGACAAAGGGAAAGCATGGTGCAAGGAGGCTCTTTCCAAGACCATGTGGGTTGATGAATTGTAATGTCACTCTCATAAATCTTGTATCATATTTTTACAATGCAGAAACTTTAATATGCCATGTAACTACTACTAGCCTTTGAAGAGACTGGAAAGCTTATTATCTGTCAAAGGGGAATAATGGAATTAGTTCTTGGTGTAAATTGGTGCTTACCAACACTGTAACATTTCTGCCCTGCTGATAAATCTCCAAAAAATATATGCTTTGTTAGCCAGGAGAAAAAGTAAGAATATCAAAATAGAAATGTTTAAATATTTTTATTCCAAAAATTATTATTTAAATAATCCAAAAATATTGAGCATTTTAAGTAAGCAAAATTAATGATAAGATTTTGAAGAGATGTACCAATTAGTGTTGACTTCCAATATTTTACTTAAGTTATAAGTTTCCATATGTCCAACTACAAATGTAATTTACCTTTTCTTAATCTACTGAGAAGAGCATTTCATTGTAAATTAGAACTTGGAAAATTTGCTAAGGATACTCAGCAGAGCTTTGAGAATAAATGCTTTCATTATTAGATAAAGTCTGTTTTATTAAATTCATTTTATGTTATTAGAAAAATATATAATTAAATTAGAAAAATATATAATTAGACAACTACAGGAAACTACTTTTAAAAAGTATTAGCTTATAAAATAAATGGCTTGAAATTATGGTGAGTAAAATACCTTCCTGGCAGTAACTTGTTTCCTGGGAATTGTGTTTTAAGTAAATGTTTAATATAAACATTAGCAGAAAAAACATATTTGTCATACCAAGTGTGGTTAAAAAAATGCTTCTTTTTCTTTCTGTGGTTTTGGATTTCTCATTAAGGAAATTAAATTAGGTAGTCAGTTATTAAAGTTACAACCATATATCAGATTTTTGACATTTTTACACAGGGTCAAGTCCCATATTCAGGATAAATATGAAAAAACTCTGATAATATAAACATAGTTCTTACCTATATTCAACACTTGATCAAAATGAGCATATTAATCTTTTTTATCTTCATTTCTAAATATCTTTGTTTGACTCACAATTTATGTAAATAATGAATGACATAAGAGTATATAAAATTGTGCAAGTAATGAACAAAATGTATTTGAGTTAAGTATAATATTTCCAAATTAATCAAAAGGGGTCAGAATATTAGACAACTGTCAAACTAAATTTTTAATCTGACATCTAAATTCTTAGAATCATTCATCATTTATGGCATAGCTTTAAACTAATAATTTAGTCTGAAAGTTATTCTTTTATTTACTCTTCTTTATTACAGGCAGTGAGCACAGATCCTGTCCCAGTTAAATTACACTATGACAAATCACATGATCAGGTTTGGGTCCTAAGCTGGGGTACCATGGAGAAGACCTCCCCAACACTACAGGTAAGTACATACCAGTATATTTGAGAAAACAGTGATTTCAAACTTTTAGATAGCTCACTGGATAATGACCATTTGCCGATGTTATGCTTCCATCTTAAAAATGTAGTTTTAATCACAACTAGATCTTCATAGTAAAAGGAAAAAAAAAGTTGAGAGTTTTGAGGACATCATGGGTCATATTCATTAGAGTCTATATTTATATATAAAAAGAATAATCTATAGTGACAGAGTTGATGTTATTAGGAAAGTAAAAGTAAAAATTCAGTCTACCTTTTTGCTGCTGAATTCCAAAGACTAGGTAATTTATAAAGCATAGAGGTTTATTTTGGTACATGGTTCTCAAAGCTGGGAAGTCTAAGGATGGTGGCAGATTCATGGTAAAAAGCATCACATGAAGAGATAGAGCATGCATATCAGAGAGGTATGATTTATAAACAAAGCCACTCCTTAATAACCAATTAATCTATGAATGGAATTCATCCATTTTGAATGGCTCAACCAATCACCTCCCAAAGTTCCCACCTCTCAACACTGCTGCATTAGAGTCCACCCAGTTTCCAACACATGAACATGAATTTTTGGAGGACACATTTAACCTGTAGCATTACTGTTTAACAATTTCAGTGGTGCATGTAAGGTAGAGACCAAGAGGATTACAGTGCAAGAGCCTCAGAGCAGATCACCATTTTCTCCAAAAGTATGGTATTTTATTATATTAGACTGCATAATTTTTAATTGGGGGATATGTGTGCTGTAGTGGTGAGATTTGCTTCTGTTTTGAAGTTGTTTATGTGAGCACTTCACAGATATAGAAAAAAATATGCATTGATCTTGACCCTTTAGTACAATCTTTAGATTTCTGGACTTACAAGTTTAAGAGGAAGCAGAGAGGAATTGGAAGAAATATTTAGCCCTGGCAATATGCTTTATACTATTTCTTAAATTACCTTGTGATTATACTTCTGCCTTGAATGTGCTTCTCCTTACAAGGCCCTAAATCATTAACCTTCAGTCATTTTTCAATGACGTATATTGAGTGCAATAGTTTTACTTCTAGTCTGTTTTCGCTGACACTATTTTTTTATGTTTCTGAGTTATTGTCAGTGTTACAATATTTAACTCACAAATGACAGATCTCTTGAAACGAAATATTTTACTGAGCAATCATAATGATGGCTCATTTGATATTCACTGGAAATATATGACATTTGAAACATCTGAAATACTATTTCAGTTATCTATTGTACAAATCAAACCACATCAAAATTTGTTGTTTAAAGAGTGACACCCCTCATAATTCTGTGACATGGCCAACTGGGGAGTTCTGGTGGTATGATCTAGGAGCACTAGTGTGGCTCCAGTTACCTCAGGGTCCAAAATGGGATCACCTCATGCCTATCACAAGGTTCTAGTGTTCATTTGGGTGCCTCCTGCATGCAATTTCTTATTCTTTAGACAAGGATTTTTACAGGACAATTCTTGCAAGTGATAAGAGTGGAAGCTACAGATCTAGTTAATGTTTAGTTCATCAGAGTTCACATAAAAAAACTTCTGCAACATCCTTATTAATCAAAGCAAATCATACTGCCTGCCCAGATTTAAGGAGACTGACACAATTTCATGAAGGGAAAAGCATAATATTCCTACTGAATGACTGTCAGAATGTCCTATCAAAAAGATAAGTAGGATATAGTTATATATATATATATATATATATATATATATATATATATACATTTTATATACATATATTCATACATATATTTTCAATATACTATATTCTTCAGAATCAAACCTTGGTGAAAGCTACTTGGATAGGTTAACAACTTTCCAACTGTTATAGTAGTTACACACAATTGCTTAAGCAAACTTCCTTAATATTGTACACACTCAAAGGGGAAAAAAGAGCTTTATAGAAGTCCTGTGTAACTTCCCACACATTTATTCAGCCATCTGAAAGTGTTTTTTTTTTTTTATTTTTCTCTGAATGCTTAAAACCATTGTCATGCTAATAGAATATAGTGAATTTTTAAAATATTAACTAAGTGAGAGTCAAAGGTAAGTCCCACCTAGAAATGTAAAATAAAATATAGAAATTGAGAAGTACCATTCAAATAATACATATAGAAACATATATAAACAAATAGGACATATTCTCTAGAACAGAGAATTTTTTTTCTCAAGTAGTATGTTAGTGTTTATTTCTCAGCTATGTCAACATTAGCCATGTGTTAAGAGAAGGATGTTACCCAGCACATACTTTATAATTGTACCAGGAGAAGAACCTGGAATTATATCTCTGAGTTTTGCTGGGGCTGCTGGCATAGGATAAATATTGTTACTCTGGAATATATGAAAATCTTCTCCTAGGATGGGTAATTCAATGCCCTAGAATGTCAGCATTTGGCTCAAATGAGATAAATCTCTAATCTCTCAGGAGCAATTTGCCATGAATAGCCTCCCAAGCATTTGTGTTATGCCATAATCCTTTAGCCAGATTTGCCAGTTCCTTTGCTCAGAAAAACCTGACTCTGCAGAAATGTCAAAATATGCATGGATAATTGTCTCCCAACAGTATTATCAGAAAACATCCACAGCGGAAATGGGATTTAAGATGCATTTGAAAGGGGAAACAAATAGTCCTGTGGAGAAACTGAATTCACAAAATCAGAAGAAACATGGGCAACTCCTCATTTTGACTCTAGTGTTCCCTTGTGATATTGTTAATAGACTGGGAAGGGAAATTGATGCTTGAACTAGGAGGGACCTTGTTTTGCCATAATACAGCATATCTTATAATGGTAACTACTGAATCATGAAGGCACAAAAGTATTATCTCAATGATGGTGGATGATTTGGGTTAGGTAGGGCTGTGTGATGAGTTCTGTGTGATAGGGGGTACTGTGAATGAAAACACTGAAGATAGGCACCTCTCCTTCAACTTGGATTACTCAGTGAAAACAGCAGATATCCTGCCAAAGTCCTTGGGAAAACACTATGTGTGAAGCAAAATTTTAAATTTCTAAGTCACAAAGTCAACAATTTAAACATGGTGATCCTTCATTTAATGGGCTATAAAAGTTTAAGAGCCAGCAATGAAAAGAAAAACTTTTTAATTAAAGCTTAGTTTAGTTGATTATTTTGAATTTATAGAAAGCAAAGTTAGAAAAAATGATGCTGTGATTTTTTGAAAGTTAAAGTGTTTCATATGATTTTGGAGTTTTCATGCTTGTTTTGACAGTTTTGTTCTTTTGGGAAGTATTTTGTCCTAATATCTGATTTGTAGCAGTTGTAGACTTACTTTTATTTTTCTCATAATAGCAAAGTTAACATTTTTATAAAGTAGAGATTGCTTATATGTATATTTACAAACATGTAGCTCTTAATGATGGGCATGTTTTGAAAGCTGCAGAGTTATGTCTATTTCTTTCTCATTCACACAGTATAGAGTGTACTGACAAAAACTAAAATGGCTACAATGTTATTAGGCAATTTAATCTTAAGGGACTGTCTTTGTATTTGCAGTTTGTTGTTGATTGAAACTGTTATGTATGGCATAACTGTATTTTGTATTTTAAGCAGAAATTGCTCAAAACAAATATCTTTCCTTTTCCCCCTCTTATTTATAGAAACAAAGGTTTCCATATTGAAAATTAGAAAAACAATCACAAATTTCAGTTTGCCTAACAATATTGCTAATTTTGAGGCAGGCAGTAAAGATTCTATGCAAACAAGTGTCAGAAAAAAGTATTTCATCTAAAAACATAGCAAAGTTCATAGTATTTAAGAAAATGTATTTCCCAGATCTAAACATTGTGTAATCTGTTTAGGTAATAACCCTGGCCAGTGGGAATGTCCCTCACCACACCATTCATACTCAGCCAGTGGGAAAACAGTTTGACAGAGTGGATGACTTTTTCATTCCCACCACAACACTCATTATCACCCATATGAGGTAAGTGTTGAGTTTTTAGATTTCCAATTGTAGTAAGTCACATAAAATTATTTTTAAAATTAGTTATAAAGTAAATATACACAACTGGCTTTGTTACATCAGCTTGATGAAATTCTATTTATCAACATTAGTAATGAATTTCATGCCTAAGAAATGAATTTACAAATGCAATTATATTTTGTTATTTTTATCAATTTAAAAGCTAATATTTTCCATGCTTTCATTAGTGTTCTTCTTAGGCTCTTGAAAAATATTGGCATTTCCTTAAAAATAAATAATTTAAGTGATAGAATCACTTCTCAAATGGAGAGAATATTCATTTGAACTTTGTATTAGAGAGTTATAGTAATAGAAATCCATTCAAATTTTTTTAGAATTATCTTCAATTAATATAATATTGTATAAAAGTATAGTAAGTTGATATGAAATGTTTACAGTCTGCTCGTTGATAAGACATATCAGCGTTTTCTGTCTCTCCATATATTTACAAGAAGAGAAAAAATAATATTAACCTCTAGTGATATCACCCCAAGTCTTCATGGTAGTGTTTAAACGGATGAAGAGGAGAAGTGAAAGTATATTCTTTACATGCATGCAATAGGTTCAATGTGTGATTCTGCATTCTTAGATTTAGTTGACATATTGTCAGATCTTTGCATCTCTTTAGACTCTAAATGACAAATAGCTGGGCTGGAGTTGGAACTAATAATAATTAGAAAAACATCCAAATAATGTGAATAAATTGAAGGCACAATTCTAATTAGTTATACATACTGTGAAAAGATTTAAAATTATGCTTGAGGATTTTTAAACATCTTTATTCCTTTTAGGGATGAGCAGTGGCATAGTGTGTGTGGTACATTTTTTATATGTATTTAATTTAGTGAGAATAAAAAATGAAATTATATCAATCCTACCTGCACAAGAATCTAATTTTAATGTACAAGGGGAATCATCAAATTTCCTATTGCTTTTCAAAGTAATTATCCTTATTACTATAGTGAATGGTAAGAGTAAAAATTAACATGCTTTTCCAAAAATAAACTGTTACATGTAAAGTATTTTTAACATTATGAAGATTCATTCTACATAGGAACCTAAGCGATAGATACATTCTTTTCTCCTGCCAATGTCATGTAATATATTTCTAACCAAATTTAGCGTGCATGTAAATTCATGTTCCTGAGATTGAATTTTATGAACTGTGTTTTTCAGAATTTGGCACTACTTTCTGACTGCTGTTTTTGGTAGATATTTCCTTAGCAAGTAGACGATCTGTGTTTAATTAATGTTAGATTCCTTCTTCTGAACTTGCATCACATGAATGTGCTTTTCTGATAGTTTGTAGCATCGTTATTTCAAGTAATATGTATCTTCAATGTCTAAAAGACCCTGTACAAGTTTTAGGATTTTATATCCTTAATACCTAAAAAAGTAATAGATAATTAATTGAAACTTCTCATGGTAATGGAAATAAAGAAGGAAGAAATTGCCACATTGTTTTCTCTAATCTGGTTTAGGAAAGAACTGTAGCTACTTCTAATGTACTGGATTTCCAGTGTTCAACACATTACTGGCTCTGTAGCAGGTTCTATTTCTAGAACACATGACTTGTGTGGAACTGCTAAACAGCAGTAATAAGAATTTATTTCTCCTGCCAGACAAATCTAACCCTGAATGCTCTAGCAGCACCATTTGTTATTGGCGGTGGTGACCTCAGCTATTTTACTTCCTTTACTTCTGAGGATTGGAAGAAAATAATGTTGGAGTATTAACTTTCTCCATAATAATTGTTATGTAGCCTATCCATAATGTTTATAAGCACAGTGGTTTCTTTGTAATTAGTTATAATTTTGCTGAAAGTCTCTATTTTTATGTTTTTATTCTCATTTTTCATTCAGTTCTTTTATTTTTATTATTTTTTGGGGGGAGGGCTATAATCCTTAGGTTTCTTTAGCCTAGATTCTAAGGTAGATCAGAACTGAGGAATTAAGAAAATTCAAAAATGGGTATGATAATTTGCTTTACTATAGTAAAGATTACTACATTGTGTGTGAGTGGTGACTATGCTTGACTATAGTAATGACTTTCTTGTGTGTGTGTCTTACAAACTGTGAACACATATATACATGTCTATATATGCATATACAGACTTTCTTGATATTTATAAACATATATAAAACATAATCTCACACACCTTAAATATATGTAATAAAATGCCCAAATAATTTTCTAGGCTTACATTAAACTTTGTTAAATATTTTATAAAAACTAGTCAGTTTCACAAAATTCAGGAAGTTCACCTTTTGAAAACCCTTGAAACTCTCAACACTTCAAAACTTCTAAAAAAATAAAAATAAAAAATAAAAAAACTTTCTTAAAGTCCTAACTCAGGTTCTTTTTGAATTCCTTTAGGGATTGGAGTTTCAGGAAATTAATATTCATGCTCATAATATTGAGAATGAGGGACTGGTGTCATTCATTCATTCATCTTCTCCACTGAACTCGGTCCCATTTCCTGAGTGTTTCAGCCTAAAGCATATGGTCATTCCTGTTTTATACTACAGAGTAATAATTTATCAGTGAAAATACTCTGTTTTGGTCTAAGTAAACTGAAAGAAAAAACTTTTTTTCTACCTTTGCCAATGAAATAAGATTATGTGACTCCTAGGCTTGGGATAATCAGATATAGAAATGCCATACAATATTTGAGCTTAATGAAAATATTCCTCAAGGTATTATGTTCTAGACTCTGCATCAAGCTTTAGTCCCTGAACTTTTATTTCCTGAAGAAGTTAAATTGAATGAAACTTCCTTGAAAATGAGAAAATTTATCATACTTCTGTCTCTTCAAAAGCTTCCATTATTTATTGAGCTTTTGAAATGGACTGACTTAATATTGACTAAAAGTTTATTTTTATAAGATCAATAAAACAATGTAGAACATAATTTTACTACAAAAGAGTGTGAGTTGGTTAATTTACTTCCTAATTATTCAAGGGAAATTTTTAGTTAAATTTTTAGTTAAAATAGGTTAATAACAGAGATATTTATCGAAAATCATATTTATTTAAATCATTCTCTAATTTTATCCCTTTTTGTTTTTAAGTAAAAGTAAAATTTTATAGCTTATGATCTATTAATTCATATCAAAATAGTTCCATTGAATACTTAACAAATAATGTGATTATTAATTATTATGTAACATTAGTAATTCATTCCACATTTCAGTATTAGCTAGTCATTTTTAGAATTGCAGTTAGTAGAAAATTTCCTTTATAAACCTCCAACTTTGACAAGAAATTAGCAAATTATGTACTATAGTTCTATAATTGAAGAGGTTATATAGTACAAATGAAATATATTTTGCACTGCAATGAGAAAAATTAATTGTAATATGAAAAAACAGAAGGCAAAGTTAAAAGAGAAACTTAAAACTGAAGAGGTATGTAATCCTCCTAAGAATCAGTTGTGTTTACTTAATGTAGCAAACATTGAAATAAAAATTCATTATCTTTTTTAATCAAAGGTATTCTACAAATAAGAAAAATGTTTCATTATTCTATTCATAATTTGTATCCCAAGAAGTAAATTATCATACAACCCTGTTGTCAAATTAAATGGAAATTATCTTTTTGTGTAAATAGATATATTTGAATAGTATGGTAATTTCACTCCTCAAATGGTATGGCTAATGAATGGGAGCTTTAGTAATTCTTACCAGCAATCTTTTGAAATAAGTCAAAAAAAATTCAAAATAATTAAAAAATAAGTTCATTAGTTTTCAGAAACAGTTGTTATAATGCTTGCATTAAACTTCAAAGCAACTAAATCTCATAAAGCATAGACATTTACATAATTGATTGTTTTATTTTTGGAACCACTCTAAAGAGAGAAAATTTTAAATGTCAATTTCTCATTGTAGTAAGAGTAAACATTAGAGCTTGCTGTGCAGGTGCTCGTAGAGCTTGCATAAAAGAAATGAAAAAACAATAGGTCTACAAATAATATGTCATGTTACCATAGTTTCTGTTAAGGTCTACCAAAGAATTAGAGGGGTGAGGAAAACTGACATAATAAAAGAAGCTAAGGAGACAGCAGATAGCAGGGGGTGAGGGATGAAATTTTTTCATAATGTTTTCCTTTAAAAAAATCTTCAATAATTCTTCCTGACAATGATATATATTTTGGTTGTCAGGGGATAAAAGTGAGATAGACATGGAGGCCAATGTGGAGCAGAGCAGGGAAATGTGATAAAGCTTAATTCAGAATAGTAGAAAAGGCCAGAAAGAGTAATCTACAAGTGCAGGAATTAACAGAAGGCTTTCTTAGGTGATTTTTATAAATACAAAGCATGTTAAAAAGAAAATAACAGCAAGATATTTCACCTCACTAACATTTGGGCTGGATGGTGTTATCAGTGGAAATTCTTTGTGATTTATGTTGACTAAAATCATACTGTTGTTACAATTTAAAACAGGTACCATTGGATGAAAGATAAAGATATTATTTATAGCTTGTCTTTGGAATCACTTGTAAATCATGCTTTTTTCCTTTTCCTCTCTTATACCTCCAGATTAGAATTCAAGTAGAAACAAATTTAATTCCACCGGGCTGAGATATGCCAATGTCAATTGGCACAGAAGACACAGTAAATACAAGGAGGGGAGGATTTTTGAGTTGGGTGTCTAATCCCAGGACTAGTGCTATAAGTAGTCAGGAATGGTCACAACTAGGGTGTTGCTATTTGAGATGCTTTGAAGCGTTTGCCTTAAAACCATTGCTCCACTGCAATTTGATCATGTTTCCTGGAATTTCAAATCACATATCCATGTCATTGGGTTATATTTATATGGAAATAGATTTTTAAAGTGTTCCTATTTCTTGAGAGGGAGAATCAAGTAGATCAGTAAACCTCCAGTGAGAAGGAGATCTCGTAAGCCAACACATTAATATAAAATCCTGAAAATGCCAGTTCCTACACTTTTCTTCTTCTCTGG